TCCATTATCTTTGCCAAGAAAATCCCAAATGGGGTCACAGAGAGTCAGACACAACTGAAGAACTGAACAACAACAACAAAAAGCTACATATGATAAGAAGCATGGTATAGGGGCAGCTAGGTAGTGCAGTGGATAGAGCACTGGTCCTGGATTCAGGAGGACCTGAGTTCAAATCTGGCCTCAGACATTTGACACTTACTTGCTATGTGACCCTGGGCAAGTCCCTTAACCCCATTGCCTAGCAAAAAAAAAAAAAGAAGAAGAAGAAGAAGCAGCATGGTATAGTAGAAAGAGTATTGGATTTGGAGTTAGAGAAGCTGGTTCAAACCTCTCTAGGCCTCAGTTTCCTCATTTGTGACCAGCTTTTCTGTTACATCTCCAATAATTGGTCATTCAGCTACAAGTGCTGAGGAACTCAGTTTCCTGAGGCAGCCTATTTCACTCATAGATGGTGCTAAGGTTTTGATGGTTTTTTCTGGTGCTAAGCTTAAATTAATCCTGGTAAAGCTTCCACCTGTAGCTCCTAGTTCTTCACTCTAGGGGCCAAGCAGGTAAGTCTAGTTCTCTTTCCACAAGACAGCCCTTCAGATGCTTGAAGATAGCTCTCATGATGCCCCTAAGTCTTCTTCCTAAACATAAGTTAAACAGAGACAAAAAGTACCAATTCATGGAAAATGGGGCTAGAATTCATTTTTTCTTTGTCTGTCTCCTATTAAAAAAGCTCAATAAGTAAAATGAGTTTCTTTCCTTAGGGACAAATTATTTTAAGTTCATGGATCTAAATAACTATTTTGAATGTTTATTATTGTCTTGAATTTTCTATCCTTCCCCTTTTCTTTTCTTTCTATGCATACAGTTGTTTTCCATTAGAACAGAGGGTTTTTAACCTGAAATCCATGGGCTACCGATGGATGGTGGGCATATTTCACAGGTTCTGTGAATTTGGACGAGAAAAAAAATAGCTCCTTATTTTCCACTGACTTTTGGTTTTCTTTCCAATACTCTGAATTTTATTTTGTACATTTAAACACATTCTGAGAAGGGAGCCATAGATTTTACCAGACTGCCAAGAGTCCTTCTCAATCTCTCTCTTTCTCTCTCTCTCTCTCTCTCTCTCTCTCTCTCTCTCTGTCTCACACACACACACACACACACACACACACCACACTTTAGAAATTCTGCTGTAGACTGTCAATTGCCCATTAATAGATTTTAATTTTCTTCATTGTGTCTGAATAAAATAAAAATTCTAATACTTAACAGTGATTTATGGGAATCTATATATAGTAATTTAAAAGTGAAGCAATAATATAATTTTTTATTCTAAGCATTATTTCATTTTCTTTAGTTTGAAGGGCAATTTTATTCCTGTTATACCAGAACTTTAAAAAAAAAGGTTTTTTTATGTCTGGAATTGTGTCTTACCTCCAAAAGAGTATATGGTTCATGTGAGCGTGGGTATGTCCTGGGACTTATTTCTAGCATTTTAGTGGCAGTTAAGTTTTTCTTGTTATTGAATGTTTAAAAAAATTTAGATTACTTCTTGGCCCCTGAAAAATCATAGTATTTCTTTCCTAAGAGTTTATCTCTTTCATTCTTATTAAAAGATCAGCTTTTTGCGGGGTCAGGATGAAAAGAATATCTGGGGTACATGCTTTGTGGTATAGTTTGGATTTTGGAACCAGAACACCTGTGTTCAAATTAAGAGGCATAGTGATAACTGGAAAGAGTGCTGGATTTGGAACCAGAGGGCCTGGATTCAAATTCTGCCCTTGTTCTTTATTATTGTGTGCTTTTGGGCAAATCACTTAATCTCTTGGGGCCTGAATTTCTTCATTTGAAAAATGAAAGGAATTGCATTAGATGACTGCCAGGATCCCTTCAACCATCTGTGTGAAATGAAAGTATGCAGTGGTAAGTAATTAAAGAATGAGGGTCCATCCATAGATTTCAGTAGACAAGCAAACAAACCCCTCTGAATGAGTTTGATAGTGGCAGACTGGTTAGTCGGCTACTAAAAACAATCTTGGTCTGAACTCTCAGCTTCAGATCATGTAGAGTTAGCAGTTTTGTCTCTACCACCTCCTTAGTATTGCTTCTTGAACCTCTTAATTCTAGTGAAGCATTTTCATGAGTTCCTTGGAAGTTAGGGATTATTGAAATATTTTATTTGTATCCCACTCTCTATCTAAGGTGCCTGCCACATGGGAGCTTACTAAATACTTCTAGGCTGTTCAGACTCTTTGGCTTCAAAGCAGGGCTTCCTTGTATTTAGTGACTCATCTCTACTATATGATAAGAAGCTCAGATATCCAACTTTTCCATCAGACATGACCCCCATCAGTCATTATATACCTATCTGGTAGTCAGTCCCCAGTCATCAGATTGGGCATTTCCCAGTTAGAAGTTTATAATTTTTTCAAAGAGTAATATTCAATTTAGCTGCTAAAAAATAATGTACTATAGCTATCTTTGCCTTCAGGAAGGGTCTTTTGCCTTGGAGAAAGACTGTTCTCTTAGGTCCTTTCAGCAGAATCTGTGTTGTTTTTTTTTTTTCAAGCACTTTTTATCTGACATGCTATGTCTTTTTTTCAAGCTGATTTTTTCAGTGTCCCACATATAAATGTCCTTTGCCTGCTCCTCTGAGCAGTCCATGTTTCCATATTACAAAGGGGCAATACCTCACGACTTGTTAATTCATGTTCTACATGAACATACCTATACACACAGGAGTTTCCAGAGGTTATTTAGTGCAACCCGCTAATTTTATAGATGAGGAAACTGAGGTGTACAGAGATTAAGTTACTTGACAAAGACAACAAACAGAGCAAAAACCAAGATGCTACAGAGCCAGTGCTTTTTTTTTCAGGATAACTTTCATGAATCTATTTTGTAGAGTATTTTGCATGCCATTGTTAGTTTTCTTTTTAAACATATTTATGGAATCCCAAATCTACATGAATGGTCTTTTGAAATGGCCAGTAGGTGAGTGTAGGGGTACAATTATTAAGTGACCATTTTTCATTCTACCATCTCTTTGCTTGGATTCACACATAGTCTATACAGCATGATTCTTTCAACACAGAAATGCTTGTTTGTGTGGTATGTTTTATTAGCTGTGTGGCCTTGGGTGAGTCATTGAAGCCCTCTATTTTTACATCTGCAAAATAGGGATGATGATCTTTGCACAATCGGTCCCACAGTGAGAACCACGTGAAGGTAGCTAATGTGGGACTTTATTTTCTTGGATCATGTGGCTAGATATTGAGGGATTTATATTTCTCCTTCCTTCCTTCCTTCCTTCCTTCCTTCCTTCCTTCCTTCCTTCCTTCCTTCCTTCCTTCCTTCTTTCTTCCTTCTTTCTTTCTTTCTTAATTTTCTCTTTGGTGGTAAGTAGAAGGAAGAGCAGATTATTTTTTTAAAAGCAGAATCACATGAAGTAATTATCAAATGTTTTTTGTTTGATAAAGTTTCCTAAGGCTTAATTATGGAGCAGCACCATAGTATCCTAGGTAGAGGATTGGCCTTGAAATTAGAAAATCAAGTCAACAAGCATTTATTAAGCACCTACTATATCCCAGGCACTGTGCTAAGAGCTGGAGTTATACAGAAAGAAAAAAAAAAGTCCCGCTTTCAAGGAGCTCAAAGTCTAATATAGGAGCTATCATGCCAATAACTATGTGGGATTTTAGCTGAGACTTGAAGGAAGCTAGGAAGGAGATGAGGAGAGAGAGTATTCTAGGCATGGGGAACAGCTGTGAAATGCAGCCATGAAAATGCACAGAGTCAGGAGATGGGAGAACAGTCTTGTTCAACAAACAGAATCACTGGGGTCAGGGAAGGGAAGAGAAGAAACATTTATATAGTGCCTACTATGTACTGGACATTGGGCTGTGTACTTTTTACCAATATGTCACTGGATGCTCACAATAACCCTTGACTTAACAGTTAAGGAAACTGAGGCAAGCAGAAATTAAGTGATTTGTCCATTGTCACAGAGCTAACAAGTGTCTGAGGCTAGATTTGAACTCATGTCTTCCTGAGTCCAGGCCCAGCCCTCTAACCACTGCACCACCAGCTGCCACTGAATTATAGAGTATGCAAAGGGGATAAGTTGTATGCAAAGAAAGTATAAAGGGAGACAGTTATTAAGATTGTGAACCCAGAAAGACCTTGGTTCAGATCCTGTCCTTGACATCTCTTAGCTGTGTGACCCCAGTTAAGTCTTAAATCTCTCAGTGACCCAGGCAACTCTCTTAAGACAGTAAATTACAGATGAGTTGTTGATCTCCATAAGTAGAAAGATTTTCCACTCTAGGAGGTCCCCACCTGATGAAGGCTCAGATCTGGACCAAAAAATAAAATTTATGAACTTGGAAATCTCGTATAAACTTGTGCAGCCATGATCAGAATATGTGTTTATTGCTGGGGCCCTGAGCCACACTCAAGTCCATGCCCATGGTGCTGCTGGTGCCTTTCCTATCAGTTCTGAGATGCTCTCTCTTCTCCTGAGTCCTTCCTGAGCTCCCAATGGCTAGAGTGTAGGGCAGCCATGCCTCTATTCACTGTGTTCTTTAACTTATTTTTCAGTTGTAGAATTCCAAGCAGGCACTTTTTTAAAATTAAAGAGCCTTTGATCAATCTCTGTGTATACCATATCATTATTCTATTGATTAAACTCCTCAATATTTTTATTTTTTCCTAATTATTTTCTTTAAAATTTGTCAATGCTTCATTTTTTATCAATACTTTATTTTTACAATTTTTCACCAGTGACTTTTGTAATTAAATCTTAGGGTGGGCATTATTTTTATAAATGGTTCTAGTATTTGCTTTAGGCCCTTTGAATGTGTCTTTGTAGAATTGTATGAATAGAAGGAGCTTTAACAGAAAACCTGTTCCAGCCTGCTGCCTTCAAACAGGTGTAGACCTAAAGTACTCAGGACAAGTAGTTATTTGTTCTCTTTTTGGAAATCTGTATGTAGAGAGACTGCACAAAAGCCCTTTGATTGTTTTAATTCACTGTTTTCTCACTCTGATGGTCAGTTGAGATCTCCGTTTCTTCTCTGGTTCTTTCTAGATTAGGAGCAAAATGAATCATTTTCAACTCTATACTTATATATTTGGGGACATTAATCAAATTACTCTTTATCTCCCCTTTTTATGCTAAACAACCACAAACCTTTTAACTTTTCATGTTTTAATATACAGAGCTATAAAATCACTACTTATTCATTCATTTACTCTCTCAATTATTCATCCATCTCTCCACTTTCCCTCTTCCCCTCCCCTTCCCCCTGGTTGGCTAAGTAATACAGTGGATAGAGCACTGGGGCTTGGAGGGAGACCTGAGGTAAGATCTGGCCTCAGACGCTTACTATCTGTGTGACTTTGGGCAAGTCAGTTAAGTGCTGTTTGCCTTAGTTTCCCCATCTGTAAAATGGGGACAGTAACAGCACCGGTCTCCCAGGCTTATTGTGAAGACCAAATGAGATAACATTTGTAAAGTGCTTGGTACAGTAGCTGGTGTGCAGTAGGTACTAGCTGTTATTATCTGTCTATCCATTTGCTTATCCATTGATTGATTGATTGATTTAGATAGAGACTGGCCATTCTTACCATAGTGGTATTTGGTAGTCTTCACAAGAACACTTGTTCGCTAGGTGAAAAATAAGATCACAGGAGGAGATCAGTTCTTCATCTTAAAAGAGACATATTGGGGGAGCTAGATGGTGCAGTGGATAGAGCACTCAGTGGCTCTGTAGTCAGGAGGACCTGAGTTCAAATCTAGCCTCAGACCAAACACTTGACACTTACTAGCTGTGTGACCCCGGGCAAGTCACTTAACCCCAATTGCCTAAAAAAAATTTAAAAAAAAGAGACATATTCATGAGCCTTAGCCTCTGTAAGTTTAACAGGTTTTGAGTTTTTTTTTTTTGCCCCATTCTCTGACTTTTCTCCAGCTGGCTTCATTTGTTGGTGTTTCCTCTCATTCAGCTATTAGTAATGTTTGGGCAATTTTTTTGCTCTAGGGATTTTGATGTGATGTAATTCATTTCTTTAGTTGCTGTTACTGCTATGAATCAGACACCCTGGTTATCTGACATTGAACCTCTTCAGTGCTGTGGAGAACAGATCCTTCCTCCGTAGAAAGCAACTTAGCTAGGACAGTGCTTTCTTCCTTTACTTGGGTAATTGGAGATTTAATGACATACCAAGGGTGGGACTGATTTAAAATAATAATGGCTATGTCTTCCCTTTATAAAGCCCCCTCCCAGGGAGGCTTAACAAGGATTCTCCATTTACTCTTGCAACATTCCCGTAGGATCAGAGATGTTAAAATATTACTCAGATGGGACTGGGTAAGGGAAGAGTCTGCACTGAAGCCCTTGTTTTCTTGAGAAGAGTTACAGTAGTGTTGCGGTGAATACAATATTGTCTTGCATTGGAATCCTTCCTCTGACAATTGCTCTCCAGTATAATGACAACAGCAATAATAACAACATTTATATAACACTTGCTGTATGGTAGGCCCTGTGCTAAGCACTTTACAAATAGCTCTTTTGATTCTCATGGCAACTCCATTGTCATTTTACAGATGAGGAGAACTGAGTCAGACGGGGGTAAGTGACTTGCTCAAAGTCACATGGCTAGTAAGTATCTGAGGTCAGATTTGAATTCAGGTCTTCTCTGTGCCTCCGTTTCTACATCCCTAGTGGAAATAATGAGAGCACTCATCTCACAGCTTGTCGTGAGCATCCTATGAAACTATATTTGCAAAGGACTTTGCATGCCTCAAAGTACTGTTTAAATGTTACCTGTTATTATTGTTATTAGACCATAGGATTGAGCTGCAGGGACCCTTACAAATCTTCTCACTCAACTTGTTTGATTTGAAATATGAGAGGCCTGTCTCTGTGTAAACAGCGTCCCAGTTTGGACTCCACACTACATCTTTGACAAGTTTTTGAGACAGACGCTCCATTCCCTGAGGGAGGGTCCTGAACATCCCATTTGAGACTGGTTGGTTGGGAGCAGTCAGCCTAAGTGACCTCTCTTTGAGTTCAGAACATGTTTTTTTTTTTTAAGGCAGTTGAGGTTAAGGGACTTGCCCAGGGTCACATAGCTAGTGAGTGTCCAGTGTTTGGTCTGAGGTTGGATTTGAGGTCAGGTCCTCCTGACTTCAGGGCTGGTGCTCTATCTGCTGTGGAGTTCAGAACATTTTAAAAAGATGGCTGGGAATGAGAAATTAGAAAGAGGATATAATTAAGACCCCCACTGGCCCCCAACATATAACCTGCCGTTGCAGATCACACGTGGTAGAAGCTGCCATGGGAGGCTTCTCTGCGGCCAGCTTCAGGGCTTTGGATGTTCCGGTGTATTCTCACAGCCCCACAGGAGCTGCAGCAAAGGGTCTTCCCACTGCTTGCCAAGGACTGACCCATCCTTGCTGTGTCGAAGAGACTGATGTACAGGTTCCCTAATAGCTCGTAAATTGCGTGATTCTGTCATGGTACAGAGAGGGAACAGGAGAGGAAAGGAAATGGATTTGTGACAGGCTTTGCTCTGGGAATCTGTGACCGAGTGCGCCCATGTGTGCATGGGAGGGATTTTCCTTGTACATTATCTGCTGTCCTGTCCTCTGGTGGATCTGTAAAAAAAAAAAATTCTTTTTGGTGGTAGGAGTGTGTGAACTGTGGCCCCCAAAATGAGCCATGAATTTGGGGTAGCTTCCATGGAACTCAAACCATGAGGAAACTCAAGCTCTGAGAAATTACGTGACTTGACCCAAGATTACACTGCAGAGACCAGGGCTAGGATCCTGACCTCCTGGTCCCCAGTTCAGTGTTTTTTCACACCAAACCAGGCTATCTCTATTTTTTATTTATTTACAGGAAAAAGCTTTACTTTTAGCCCTTAGGAAGAATACTTCTCATTAGGATGACATTCCAGGCAGCCTGGCTAAGTCCGGCAGTGAAGGAGGGTTTTCTTACCCTGTACAACTTCCCAGTGTACAATGTACCTTGGGAAAGTGTGTTGCATCCAGAAGGTTAGAGCTGAGTCAGTCATCACAAAGATTGTTCTTATAGACAAGACGTAGCAATGTCAATTCACCAAGCCTTTATCAAACCCCTCGTCTTTGCCAGCAGAGTTTGCATTAGACCAATTTCTGCCTTTTCATTTCTATTCTTTTGGTTCTATAGATGAAGGTATGGGAGAGAAATAATATGGAAATATCACAGAAAATAAGGCTGTCATTGTAGTAATATATGTCTTATTTTAATTTCCTTGTAGATTCCTATCTCTGTAACAGAAATTGTAGGAAGATGGCTAATAATTACCTTATCAGCTTGTCTGGGTCTCCCCTTGGGAGCCATAACATTAGGCAAAGTTCCTATATGCACACAGATTTATTTTGTGTTCTTTTTCCCCCTTCCAATGTGTTAACTGTAGAATCAAAGATTTGGTATCTTTTAGCCACAAACCTGGATTCCATTCTCTATCGTACTAATATGGCCTTTTCATTTTATTTTGCATAGAGGTCACTGCAGTGCTATGGGAAGATAGAGACACTGCTTTAAATTCAGGACATTTTTTTCTAGTCTTCCTTCTCCCTCTGCTCCCCCAACATGACCCTCGGGGCCCCCAACCCCTCAGTTATTTCACCAATAATGTCTGCCATTTGGGCCCATGATAGAAAAATCTACAGAACAGTGTGATCTTCTGAGAAGAAAATTGTCTCCCCGTAACCTCTCCCCCCATTATTAATAGACAATTATAGCTTGTATGTCAGAAGCAAGATTTAAGCACTTTCTGTCCCTCTGTCCCTCACCCCCAATTAAAAAAGTAAGAATCCATTTTGCATCATCAGCTTATTTGCTTTTTCCCATCTAAGATGCTACTCTATGCCACATGTCGTCCTCAGAGGTAATAAAAATGTCATTACTTCTGTAGAATGTAAATATTAAGGCTGATGTCTAAAGGTCATCATTTATGTTCAAAATGTCCATAATTATTTATGCTTAAATATTTATTGAGCATTAGTTGGGCATTTGTCCATGGTGAATGAGCCCTGGCAGAGGGCAGATCGGCTTCCTTATGGCAGTGCAGACCTTCAGAAGGAAGCTGTAACAGTTTCAAGACTTTTTGCCTCCTGTGCCCTTCTCTGTCCTGAGGCTGTGTACTCTTCAATGAAATGAAATGGCGATGCCGAGGACGAGGACCAAGTGTGGCCCCCTCTGTCACCTTGGACCATAGCCAAGACCTCCGCTTTAACTTCCTCATCTGTAAAATAGGAAGATGGGGGACAGTAATACTTTGCCCATTGTTGTGAGGACCATTTGGATAGTGTCTGTAAATCACTTATGTGAGTAAATGCAATTATTATTAGAGACTCATAGGATGTTAGTGCTGGGATGGATTTTAAGTTTATGTAGAGCCTGTCCCTCCCATTTTATGGGTGAAGAAGTTGACATGCTGAATTATGAAATTCACGTGATAGAAATTCACCACCCATGCCGTCCGTACCACAACTGCTATTTGTTGTTGAGTCACGTCTGACTCTTTGTGACCTCATCTGGGATTCTCTTGGCAGAGATACTGCAGTGGTTTGCCACTTCCTTCTTCAGCTCATTTGATGGATGAGGAAACTGAGGCAAACAAGGCTAAATGACTTGCCCAGGGTCACACAGCAAGTAAGTATCTGAGGCCAAATTTGAACTCAGGAAGATGAGTCCTCCTGACTCCAGACCTGGTACTATCCACTGTGACACCCAGCTGCCCTAGAGAAATATACATTTATGTTTTTGTTCATTTAAGGGGCATGTATTTTTATATGTGCTTGTTATCCCTTCCATTAAAATATAATTTCCTTGCCTAGAACAGTGCCTGGTACTGAATAGAGACTTAATCAGTACTTGTTGTTTTATTAAAACTTCTCTCATTCAAAGCCTTTTGCAGTCTGGCTCTAACCTATCTTTCCAGACTCATCTCATGTTATTTGCTGCCTTTCAGCCAGAATGTCTACCTTGCTGCTCCTGGGCCACAGCAGTCCCTCCTCCACTCTCTGGCCCTTTGCGCAGGCTGCCCACATCCCTGGACTGGTCTTACTCCTCACCTCCATTTTTTGCATTCCATAGATCCCTTCAAAGCCTTGCTCAAGGACCCACTTCTAAATGACACCTTTTCTCAGACTTCACTTGTTAGGGAGAGCTAAATCTCTGTGTAGTTGGTGGAATGTACCTGAATGTAGGTGTCATGTAGCTGAAGTTGTGATCTTCACCATCTTAAACTTTGCCGATGTCTTGCCATAAATACTTATGGGAACATTGTCACTTTCCTTAATTCTCTCTGAACACTGGCCTGACACCTCTGATTCAGAAAGCATCATTGATCAAATATATATATATATATATATATATCACTTTTTTTTTTGCCTAGGCAATGGGGTTGAGTGACTTGTCCAGGGTCACACAGCTAGTAAGTGTTATGTATCTGAGGCCAGATTTGAACTCAGGTCCTCCTGAATCCAGGGCTGGTGCTCAATCCACTGTGCGATCTAGCTGCCCCTATCATTGACCAAATATTAAGACCTAGAGGTTACTTTTTGTCTAGATCCATAATTTCATCAAGGACCTGTGAGGAAACTCCTACTAATTCATGCAGGCACCTGTTTTGAAGTTTATAGTCTTAGAGAATTGCCTAGGGGCACTGAGGGATAAAGAGATTTACTCTGGCATCACATAGCCAGTGTGTGTCAGAGATAGGACCTGAACTTGGGTCAGCCTGACTCTCAGCTGGCTCTCTCCAGCACTCCATGCTGCCTTTCATCCAGAGCATATACACTGGTTCAGTGCAACAGGAATGTATTTAGTGACTGCTGTGTGCTCACTGTGACTGCTAGATGAGAAAAGACAAACACAAATGAGAATTTTCAGAGGGAGCATTCCATCACAGTTTTCTGGGGTACTCCTTTGACTTGGGACAGAAAGCCTTCCTATCTAGGGCCTTTTTTTTTTCAAATACTGAACATATTCATGGTTATCTTTTAGATTTCTAAGAACATCCAGGAAAGTCTTTTTAAGGAAAATGAATCATGAAGGAATAAATTCAAGGAGGACCAAGAGAGGCAGCATATAAAAGGTGTCCATGGCAAAATGTTGTCTTGATTGCTTGAGGACCAATTCACTTGAAATTCTCAGGAACTCGCAGAGGAAATACCTTTCAGAAAGAATCCACTTGGCAAAATATCCTAGGGCTTTGTTTAGTTGTATTGTTGATTTTCTCTGCACATTAGGTCTTCTTCGCTCCCTGGATAAGGAACAAGGTCTGTGTCCATGGTATCACTTAATAATATATGTCGCTCATCACCAGACTGGTACTCCTATTATATCTGATGCCTAAAATAATTTAAAGAACCTTGAATTAACTTGGATTGGAATCTCTATTACCATTTTGAATAGAGGAAAAGCCTTGTGATTTATAGGACCAGTATAAGGAATACCAGTCTCTCAAGGAAAGAAGACAAAAAGCAGGAAGTCACAATAGAAAAGGTAAAAAAAAATGGCTAAAGATATGTTCAATTAAATTTCTAAAGATTTTATTAAGCACTGATGTGCCGGTATATAAAATAAACAACAACAAAAAAGAAATTGTTCCTGCCCTCATGAAGCTTACATTCTGCCAGGGTACAATATGAACCGGGAAATACACATTATACACAAAATAAATAGAAAAGCATTTGGAGAGGGGTACACTAACAAATGGGGGGGGATCAAGATAGGTCTCCTGTAGGAATGAGCACTTGTTACTAACCTTGAAAGGAGTAGAAGGTGAGGAGGGAGCTTTGCGTGCAATGTTTTCTGAATGATAATAGAAGAGAATGAAAAACCAATAATGGATCTAGTTATGTAAATCTGAAGGTTAGAAAAAAAGACAAAAAGAAGAGAAGGAACTCAGAAGTATTAGAGGTAATTTTGTTGTATTTCAGTCGTGTCCTACTCTTAGTGACCCCATTTGGGGTTTTCTTGGCAAAGCTACCGCAGTGGTTTGCCATTTCCTTCTCCAGCACATTTTCCAGATGAGGAAGCTGAGGCAAACTAGTGATTTACCCAAGGTCACACAGGTAGTAAGTGTCTGAGGCCAGATTTGAACTCAGGAAGATGAATTTTCCTGACTCCACGCTCAGCACTCCACTGTATCCACTGTGCCGCCTAGCTGCCACTATTAGAGGTAATAGGAAAATCAGGATGAAGCTTTAGATGGAACGTTCAATGAGCACGGAAAAGATGAGTGAATCAGAATTAGGGGCGATATATTTCTCTGTAACTAATATAATATGTTGCAGTTTAAATGGCTCAGAGTCTAAACTTGTTTCTTCAATCTGATATGGGTAGAACTTTTTATTTACCTCTATAGAGTAACAAAATATTCTTTCACTGTAATTTGAAATTTGTGTTGGATAAACACCAGAAGCTCTTAGGTATCTGACTAATTAGATGTTGGGTTTTTTGATAATTAAAATAATTCTAATTGAATCTGCTTGTTGAATATTTCACTACTTAGTGTAGTATTAATGTTTAATATTAAAATAAGTTAACTGATTCCATGTGAATATGCAAAAATCATGTGCATTAATTAATGTTTGGCATGCAAGTGTTCTCAACTTGAAGAGCTAATTGATTAAAAGATGCTAATAGAGGGTCCTAACAAAGCTTCTCCTGAGCATCTTAGGCACAGAGCTGGCTCCTGGCACTGTTTCGTGAGTGAAGGTGTGTGTGCAGGGAGCTCTGAGCTGGCTTGCCGCATGTGTGATCCTGTCAGACGTGGATAATGTGGAGTTGAGTAATTACTTAATGATTTATGTGTACGTGTTGCCTTATTCTCTCAGAGAAGACCTTGAGAGTCTACTTCTCACCTTGGTCTTCAGCTCCAATTTGAGGGGCAGTAATGGGGCTGCTGATGGTTGACATATGTGGCAGAAATGGAGACAGAGAAGAGGCTTCACTGAAAGTTCATGAAGTTCCAGAAATGAACCTACAGTCTTCATTTAAGGCCTTGATGTAAGTTGGATGCCAGCATGTGAAAGGCGGGGGCCCTTCTCCCAGTCCATATTTGAGGGTGAATGGCACATCACATATACACAGGCATTATGAAATGACTTTAGAAAAGTCTCTATTGAAGAAAAATAGAGAGAGAAACAGGGAAGCGGTTTGAGTCTATGCTTGAGTCATTCTACTTCTTTCATGTTGTCCTTCCTCCAAGGATGTCCTGGTGAACATTTAACAACTGGCTTTCCAAAAAGTCAGGACACAGTTTAACCTAAAATCCTCATTAATATTTTCTTCATCACCTTCTTAAGTTGAGACAGTCAACAAAATGATAAACAAAGCTCTTATTTGCAATGTTTGCTGATTTCTGAAGTGTAAATGCTCCCACTGAAAGTTTAAGTCTTTTTTAGAGCAGGTCTGAGTTGAGTGTAGTATACCTCTGAGTCTTGATCAAGGAGTTAAATAGAACATACATTCCCTGTAGGCTGGAACTGCTTTATTTTTGTCTTTGCAATTCTACCACCAAGCAAAGTGCCTGATACATATTGAGTGGTTTTTTTTTTTAATTTAAAGGTTAGGTTTCCCTAACTCTACCAGGCTGGAAGTACAGAGCTTCTGCCCAGTCACACTACTCATCAACATGGAGGCCTTGCCACTCTTTAGGCAGTTTGGTGGCCTCTTACTCTTACAGGGGCTCATATATTAATGCTGAATTTACTACAGACACTTGACTGGCTTAGCCTATTGTGGTTCAGAATACTGAGCTCAAGAGATCTGAAAGCCTTAGTTCTCCTGGAGCTGTTATTACCATCACACCTGACTTAATCAATGCTTCTTGAATTAAATGGAATTGAACACATCTTGGAAGAATTCAATTCCAACCTGAGCCTAAAAAGTTAGGGAAATGGTAAGATAGAGTGAGTGAACTAGAGAAAGTACTTTAGGTGAATTCTGTTCCTACTCTGTACCAAATGCTGGTGATACGAGTTTAAAAAATAACACAATCCTTATCCTCAGGGGGCCTAATGGTCTAGTTGGGGGAAAGAGTCCATGGGTGTAGAAATCCAGTAATGTAAGCTGGAATTTGATGAAGGGCATAATCCAGTAAGTGGAATGGAAAAGGATCAACCCAAGACTTAACCTTCCAAAGAAAAGAAAGGGGTTACCTCTTGTTGGAGACAACCAGGGATCCTCCATGGAAAAGATGGCCATTGAGCTGTGCCCAGTAAGGAAGTGAAATATTGTGATAGCTCTAATTGTGGAGGGAGTTTGTATGGTTGATGCAACAATAGGGAGGCAGACTAGGATTTGTTAGGTAGGTTGCTGTTGGGATGGATGAAACTTTGCTTCAACTACAAGTTCCTATGACACAGAGTGAAGCCAAAAGAATTTGGACCAAAGTCTGGTACTGTAAAATAAAGAAACAAAAATAACCAACACTGTATCAATAATATCATAGATATAGAACTGGAAGGGAGACTAAAGCTTATCTTGGCCAACTCCCTTATTTTATAGAGGTGGAAACAGAGGCCTCTAGAGATTTAATGACTTGGCCAAGGTCACACAGGTGGTAAGTAGAAGTGGGCTGTGAACTTGGTTTCTCCAACTCCAAGTTTTGGCAGTTTGAAAAAAATCCCAGAGGGCTTCAGTAGGCTCAGTGAGTCAGCTCTGTAATATGTAGCCGAAAAGCTAATGTGGTCTTGGACTACATTAAGGGAGGCATGACAAAAGGTCGGTAGTTCCACAGGATTCAACCCCATCGTATAGCTGGATGGTGATCAATTCTGATCATTCCATTTTGGGAGGGACATAGACAAACTTGAAAAAGAGGCTTGACCTCATCAAATGAGGATGGGTTGAAGGAGTGGGTTAGTTAGTCTGATGTTGACTTCTCTGTGACCTTGGGAAGTTATCTAGCCTTCTTGGGGCTTACTTTCCTCATCTGTGAAAATGAAGGCATTGGATTAGATGTCCTCTGAGGTCTCTTCCAGCTCTAAATCTTTTTTATTTTTATTATTATTTTTACTAATAAAAGTTAGCACATCTGTAAATTCTTTAAAGTTTTCAAATTGTTTCATGTATTATCCCACTTGATTCTCCCAACACTACTGTGAAGTAGCTGCTTTTACTATCTCCATTTTTCAGATGGGGAAAGTGAGTCTCAGAGAGGCTAAGTGAGCTTCCCAGGGTTGCATAGCTAGCAAGTGCCCATGGCAGGATTTGAACTTGTTTTCCTGACTCCAGGTACAACACTCCATCCGCTGTGCCACTGAGCTGTTTCTATGTAAGGGAGGTGTGATAACTGTCTTCAAGCATGTGCAAGGGTCTCACATGGAATGGAGATTGTATTTTTTTTTTGACCCAGAGGATGCAACTAAGAAGAGTTAAGGAAATTGCAAAGAAACACATTTAGTTGGGTTAGGAAACACTTGTTGGTGAGTAAGGCTATCCAGAAGTGAGCCAGGCTGCTTTGAGAATTAGTGGTTTCCCCATCTAGTGGGAATGTAGGTGGTACAGTGGTTAGAGTGCCAGAAGACTCCTCTTCGTGAGTTCAGATCTAGCTGTGTGTCCCTGAGAAAGTCACTTTACCCTGTTTGCCTCAGTTTCTTCATCTGTCAAATGAGCTGAAGAAGGAAATGGAAAAGCACTCCAGTATCTTTGCCATGAAAACCCCAAATGGAGTTACCGAGTAGAACGTGAGTGAAACGACTCAACAAAAACAGCAGTGGATTTCTCATCCCCAGAGATGCTTAAGCAAAGGCAAGATGACCTTTTGTTGGATATGTTGTAGAAGGAATTATTTTGGGTTTATGGGTTGAATTAGATGGCTTCTGAGGTCCCTCCCTTCCAACTCCAACATATTGTATAACAAAAAAAGCAAACCACATATTGCATGCAGTGCATTACAGTCTCATACAAATACAATCCCATTGTGTCCTGCTGCCTCATGGATCGTGTGTAGCTGTGATTTGTGTTTGCAACACAAACACAAGGTTTTGAACTCACTCCACTGAAAGATGAAAAGAAGGCATGCCTTGTATGAAACTTGTATTTAATTCCAATATCTGCAGAACTTAAGAGGGTGAAATGAAATGGAGGAAATTGCCATCAAAAGTGAGAGAGCCTGTGAAATTCTCCCTTGTGCTGCAAAATCCTTTTAGAGTGTGTCAGATTTCAGTGTGTTTACAGTGATCTTTCAGCCACTCTAGTCAGAGGTGACAGTGTTGAGCCTGTACAGCGGTGGTGGGTGCGCCACTGTGTGAGGTTTCCTGTAAGCTTAGATGTTAACTTAAGAATAAAAATTTCAGTGAGGCTTTCTTGGACTTTAGCAAACCTGGTGGTGGAAACCATGCCTAAGATTTGTGCAACATCTAAAAAGTTTTTTTATGCTTTGAAAAATGTAGTTTTCTCATTTGACTTTCTTTCTCAGCCCCCTTTCCTCTCCCCATTACATTGTGGAGCAGTGGAGGAAGCCGCTGGTGTTGAAGTCAAAGGACCTAGGTTCAAATCCCAACCTTGACACTTATGATGACTTTGGAGAAGTTACCTAACCTCCTTGAAACTCAGTTTTCTCATCTATAAAATTATAGAGATTGGATTAAATGGATCTAAGACTCCTTCCAGCTTTAAACCTATGATTCTAGAACCAGCATATGTGTCGACTGTGAGAAGTATGCTTAATTCCCATTTGGAAAAGAAGATGAGTGAGTTAGTAATCTCCATGCTGCTGGTAGATATTTCTGTGAATAGATTTGCTTTCCTTCTGTTTTTGTGACCACATGATTTCACACCTGTTGCAACTGTTGCTTTTCTTATGTGAGTCACATACATTAAATTTTAGTGCTGACAGATGTCTCAGAGAAAAGCTCTTTAACAAAGATCTATGGTGGGGAGTTATCTTTACCCCAGGCAGAACCCACTGTTCTAGTTTTGTTTTGTTGGTTTATGGTCTTATGATAAATTTCAGATAGCAACCTCTTCTTCCAGTGGTATCCAGGGCAATCTTAGAGGTCATAACTACCTGCTATATTGGTTCTGTGAGGGACCATTCATTCCTTGGGCAAGACACTCTGTTAATGTTCACAAAGGAAAATGCCAAAAAGTTTGTAATTTGGGAAGGCATGATTCCTTTAATTTGGATTTCTTTTGCACTGGAGGGCTAAGTAGTTTCATGTTTCTACTTCAAAGCACTCCACGGAAAATTGAAGGATTATAATGCTGAGGATTCTGGGTTAAAAAAAAGTAATTTGAAAGTAGACACCTGGGTACTTCATTGCCCTTCTAAACAGAATAGAGATTTTATTTAGGACTAACTCAAAATAAGGAGGGCTGCCTACTGAGTTGGCAAACCACTTCTATGCCTTCCCCCACTTCCTTTTTCTTGGAAATGCCTCTTTGCCATTGTGGCCCTTTTTCTGGAAGGATTTTTTTTTTCACTGAAAGGTAACTTGGGGAGGCTACAGACTAAGTGATGCTTGGCACTTTTGGGGGTTTCTTTATTAAGTTGTCTCTAATCCAAAATGTCACATGACAGGTAAGTCTGAGCAAAACCACATCATGGCTCTATCTTGGAAAAGGGGGAAAATAAATTTTTTTAAAAAATGTGCCTTTCTTTCTACCAAGTATATTTAGGCAATTAAATAAATGTGTGTTGCCTTTTTTGTGTTTCTCTTGTGCATCTGTTCCTTATTTATAAATAACTGAATGCAGCATCTCCATATTTTATCCATTTGGTAATCTTTCAATGCCTTATCTCTTATTAATTACAAGATAAAATTAGAGCTTTCAAGAATATTTTCACTATGCAGATACCTGTTCTTAAGTAATCATAGTAATTAGATCGACTTAATTTTTGGTCAGCATTGGAGATTTGAGAAATCCTTATAAGTACCCATAGCTGATAGAATGTAATATTCTAATGACATTCTAAAGTATGTGACTTTGAAAAATTGATTTATATTATTGGTTTCTATTAGTGGTGCAAATTTGTGGTTACTTGGGGTTGTCTACTTGTCATCAAGGAGTTGTGTGAAAGCACAAACATTTCATGTATGTGATCTTCAATGCTTTGTGCCATTATTGGAAGTGTTTTTGAAAGCACGGGAATTATCACACCTCAAAGAGCAGGATTTAAAATAGGTTTTAAAAATCCCTGCCTGAATTCTGAGCAAAAGAAGCGGGGTAGAGGTGGGTTATGTGTGTGTGTATGTCTGTGTATACACAAGTATGTGGTATAGTGGGAAGACCATGCTATTTGGTATTAAGAGCCACCTGGGTATGAATCCCAGATGAAACCGTGTGTCTACAGGCAAGTTGACATTTGTCCAAAGTTAGGACAAAGTTAGTGTGTGTTTAATGCATCTATCTCATACCAAACAAAAACAACCCTGGAAATAAACTTTTCTAAGACTTAAAAATGCAAAATGAAGGACAGATGAAAGTGATTGAACCAGACAGTTCAGATGTAACTCTTCCTTTCAATTTTATCTTTAATTTTTTTTAACTTACTGAGCCTAAGTTAATTTGAAAAATGAATGTACTAGTATTTACACTAATAGGTTGTTGTGATTAAAACTTAATGAAGTTTGAAGTGCCACAAAAATGTTGCTCATTTTTATTATTTGATATATAAATTCTGTAGTCCTGATGCAGTGTTGGTGAATATGCATGTGTGCATGCAAATTGTATGGTGGCATTGTATGGTATTTATATGTAATGATACAGACATATAAATATGTGGATGTGTATTACTTGAGGTACTCCTGAATCTTTCTTGGTTGCTTCTGTGGTGTGGGGATGTGGCCCCGAGTTTTAGAATGTTATGGCAAATGGAATAAAAACAAGGCTGACAAGAGGTCTGTTGTTAGACTCTACATCTTCTCTGAGGATCAGTCTTCCTAGCTAACCCTTATCACCAGTGAGTTGGTTATAAAGTGATAAATTTTTTTTAGCAACTCAAGACCATTTCCTTTGGAGTTGAGAGGTTGAGATTTGTTTTAGAGGATGTGCCATGAAAATAGTTTTGACCTCACAGACTCCCTTAAAAGGGGCTAAGGGATCCCGGGGTATGGACCCCACTTTGAGAACCATTGCTATAGAGTATGATGTCATATGTGTATGGTGATTTAAAGGGGGAAAACACTTTTGGGTGGACTCTCTGGCTCTCTTTAAGGCTCAGCTCCAATGTCTCCTCTAACAAGGAGTCTCTTCCTCATCCCACTAGTGT